TATTTGTAATCTTTTATCTGTTAGATTTATCTTGGCTCAAAATAATTAAAAATAATTGATAAAGAATTGAAAATTTTCACGAAAAATTAAATGAGACAAGAAAAATTGATTTTTCTACTTTCACCTTTAAAGTGCCAGTTTTTCCACGGTTTTAAGACATCGAAAGTGTCCTTTTAAACACGGACGATGCAGACCATAAGTAAAATATTTTTTTCACTCTTAGAATCTATAATATAAAAATGAATCGCAAAATCTCTGGGTAAGTGTTTAACTCAACAACGCCTAGACCAATTTGACCAATTCTTTTTGTAAAATATTCGTAAAAGTCCAATGATGGTTTTTACGGCGAAAAAAATTTGAATAATTGCCGGGTAAACCCTAAAACAGCCCTTTTCTATGGGATAAAAGTTGGCAATGAGATTTTATCATAGTTATAGTTAAATAGTTGAATCCGAGATGGCGCGCTGAAGTGCATTATTAGCAATTATTTATATAATTAATTTGTTTAAAATAAAATTGCGAATCTTATTGATAGAATTGACACATACTATGTCTAGAACAAGAGAGAAACAAATTACATTTTTATTAAACACTACCAGGATGAAGTCGCGAGCAAAAGCTAGTGGTAAATAAATTTTATTTCAAGTTTTATTTAATGTTGTTAAAAAGCTAAATTAATTTTAGTAATAATTGATTTAACGAAGACATTTATATTTAGTTTCACAATAAAGTGTCCGAAAATGCCTTTTCATAATATATATTTTGCAACATTGTTGGAAGCATTCTTCAAATAATATTTATGTGACATAAAACTCTTAAGAGTATTACAATTTCGAGTTTACCATCCGCGCAAGTAAATGGCATGCGAAACTTTCGCTCAACAATGTACACACAGAACTATGCATGAAAATCGCAAAGTTCATCCACTTGATTAAATTAACAAGCCGGAAAGCCGAGTCAGCGTTATGACACATAAAAATACAAGTTGTGAAAGTCACTAGGACAAATTCACTCATACAACTTGAAACTAATCAATAGAAAACCATTTTGTAATATTGTTCAAAGTAGGCAACCAAACTTACAAAACAGAAACAGTTATTTCAATCACTTTTAGTTTGCGCTAAGTTTTAGTAAGTTTATACTATGTAGTTAAAATTGCAACCCTCTCAAACTTTGGCCGTCCACAATTATTCATGTTAATGAAGACCGACTGTTACGTTAGAGCCCGACTGAGGAACGTGCGGTCGGCAAAGGGTAAACTAACTGTCCTCCATCTCCGCCATGCGGGTTCCAAAACCCACAGTTCTCAATCCGCGCTCGTTCAACCTTCAATGCTCATCTATACCTTTCCAGTGGCCAACTACCAACAACAAATACTTGCTTCCTATTTATATGTGTTAGTAAGTCATTGGGTAGTCACTGCGCAGGGATGGGAATGAAGGACGTCGTGGTATGACAAAACCATTTATCAGGGCAAAGTGCAAAATTAATTGCAAACACACACACATTCAAACAAATATAGGAAAATATAGGAAAGTCACCAAGTGTATTTTCAGATTATTTTATCGCTTGATAGAAATATACAAGTCATGTTGACTAAATGGTTGCAAATGTAGAGGTTGATTCAACTGGGTCAATAAGAGGTGGAGAACATGAGAATGCAAGAGCGGACGTCGATATCCATCTGATTGGTGGGCTAATTAATGTCATAGATCGGGAGTCGAAACAATGGCGGAATGCGAGAACGCGCGACACAAAAGGAAACCAGATAGAATTAGACGATAAGATTATAAGCCGAAAACGATATCAATAAACATGTCTTCTGATAAACAAATACAATCAATATCATTATTTACTAAGATTGGATTCGAATAAAACACGAAACAAACAAAAAATATTTATTTTTAATTTTTTGGTTATAATACATTGGTTTCTGGTATTTTCAATATTAAATAAAATATGGTGCTAGAAAACATTGGTGGTAACTTTATGCTAATGTGTAACTAGGCAACCAATACATCACAGAAATCCTTATTTTAACCTTTTTTGGTTTATGAAAGTATGCAAAACACATTAAAACACGTTTCTGGTAATTAAAATGGCCTCAAAATATTATTTTCGATAATATGTTATGTTTTAAAATATAAAACCATTTTGCGCTGTTATATGAAGTAGGCAACCAAAGTTACATATCAGAAATTAATGTTTTAAGCAGTTTTTAGTTTATATTGATTTTCTTTGATTTTATGATTTTGATTTATGATTTTATGGCATTAAAACATATTTCTGGTACATAAAATGGCGGATACTGTTCTTTTTACAAACAATTGTATGCATGTGATTAAACATTTATGTGAAGCTAAGTAAATAAACAAAATAAAGCATAATTCCGACATTAATGATGTTGTAAACAGTTAAACGGAAGGATTAGTTTAAGCGCACAAGCAAAGCCAGTTACAAAATTTCAAATCTCATTAGGAATATAAATCGAATATAACATGACGCACATAAATCAAGTGATTATTAAAATAAGTCCACGTGCACATCATAATATTTAGGCGTAATTATAAATTTAATGAAAACGCGGCGCTCCGCCTCCCCAATCCGTTTAACTGATTTTAATGATCATAATGAATCCAGCCGGGAGTTTTAGGACAAGCGGATTATAGTTGGGCATATTTTCCATTTTATTCCCGTCCGCATACTGCGAATATGTATTCAAAAGAACTTTTCAACTATTTATCATTTACACCACTGCATAAAAGCGTATTATTTTCCATCAGGGATGCAATGCGCTTTGTGCGCAGCCCGCTCGCCGCGTTTCCTTGCGTCATATTTTATTGAGGCCAAACCGAAAAGTCCGCGCAATTGTCCTGCACGTCCGATGATTGCGCGCTTCGCGGGAGTGGGGAGTTTATCATTTATTCGTGCATTTTGCAGTCCATTTGCAGATTGCTTTTTAAATCCATAATCGGATTTTTTCAACGTCACGGAATGAATTGAAGTGCTGGAAATTGCAACGCATCCGGACAACAAGAGGAAAAAAACAATCAATGAAATTTTCAATGATTGCAAATGGAAATTTGAATTTTACAGGTCAAGAGAATAGTGATACATATTTTGTAGTAACCCAAGAAGTAGGCAAACAAAGGTACATCACAAATTTGTATAGGTTGTTTTTTTAAATTATATTTTCTCTGTTAAAACACATTTCTGCAAATTAAAATGGCAAAGATTGTTGTTTTTGCAAAATAAATTTGTTATATATTTCAGTATGGTAAAGTTGCATATTAATAAAACACGTCAGCGCCATCTAGGATTCAATTATTTAGCTTCAACTATGATTGAATCTTTATACCAACTTTAAAATCTTATTTAACACGCTTTATGTCATGTTTTTCTTTTAAATATTAATACTATTAGGCGGAGAAACGAAGCTAGACTATCAAAATTTGTAAAACACACATTTGAAGAAATAATTAAATTGCTTTTTAACATTTTATGCGTTAATAACAATATCTTTAAGTGAAAATATAATTAATGTTAATAGAAAGTAAAATTATGATTGCAATTTGTCCGACTATAAGTTAAGTAAATAATTTCAAAGACCATCGGACATAATGCAATCCAAACATGCGACGCCACACACGTCGCGCTGCAATTATGGAATTAATCCGGGATGCATTCGCAAAATGCACCCACGGTCAACACACGCCGCGCCCCTCGCTCTCCACCAGTTTACTACAACTCACCCCAATTCGCCATTATTGTATTTCATGCACGCGTCACCGCATACTCAAACCCAAACATTACAAGATACAAGATAGAAGCTAATGCCTAACAAGAGCTTCTAATTTAATCAATCTAATTTATAAATACTCAAGATGGCCGCTTCTCATCATACACACACAATACTCACACTTAAAAATCAAAAACATTAATTAGCATTACAACTCTGCAGCCAAATAAATCTGGTTATTATCCTGACAGGACGTGAAATGCGTTATTTACAAATGACCACCCCTAATATTAAATTCGCCTCGTTTACGGTTGTTTGTTTGCATGGGAACGAAGCAACGAACGAACAAGACATCACAATGTCGGTAGCTTCTAATGACGCATGTTGCATGTTGCACACACGAGGCGCAGTCGCATGTTCGCCGCCGGGGTAAACCACCCCATGAGCGCGGAATCATCCGGAAAGAGCAACAATGCAAATTTCTAAATGTTGAAAATCCCTTTTGCCTTTCACATCCATTTTCATCATTTCAATATGAATTATTTTGGCGCATGACACGTGGCAGTGTTTACATTCTCACAATATTTATACAATGAAGGGATTAATTCGGTATGCATATATAGAAAATGTGGATTCACATCAAAATCAAAATAACAGATTATTTTACTTACTTCTAAATGTACATAATAGATGGGTATATACTGATTTATAAACTACTAAAATTTTTATCTATAATATTAAAATGAATCACAAAATTTGTTGGTAAGCGCATAACTCAACAACGCTAAGACCAATTTGGCCAATTCTTTTTTAAAGTGTTTGTTTAAGTCCAAGGATGGTTTTACGGCGAGAAAAATTTGAATAATTGCAGGAAAACCCTAAAAACCCTAGTTATAGTTAAATAGTTGATTCCGAGATGGGGCGATTAAGTGCATTATTAGCAATTCTTAATACAATTAATTTCTTTTAAAAAATTGCGAATTTTATTGATAGAATTGACCCATACTATGTCTAAAACAAGAGAGTAAAACGAATTATATTTTTATTAAACACAACCGAAACGAAGTTGCAGGCAAAAGCTAGTACACAATATTTTTTATATTTTCATTTTTAAATTCTCAGAATAAAAACAAGTAAAAATAGATTTTAGGGAAGTTAAATTTAATCTCCGAGGAGGGCTTACACGTTAAAAATCAAAATCTCTATGAAATCAACCGCAGACTGTAGGCACATAGAAATAGTTTGTGATTTGTAAGCAAAGTGTGAGAACATAATAAAATTGATAACTCGTCATTGACCTCTTTATTTAATTGCTCTACAAGTGCGATATTTCACTGCAAAACGAATTAATTTCTTTAGTTGCACCCACAAATCATCCGTCTCAACATGTACTAAACGTAGAATATTGAAACAAAACCATTCAGAATGCTACTAAAAACCGTAAGTACAAAAATAAAATATAATTTTAATACTTTTATAACAATTGGCTGTTAAAAACATCCAGTTAACGACCCATAAACAATGGAGGTTATGGCGCGTAAACTATCACACTATAGGCAACCACACCAACACGCCACCTTCTCTTCGCGGCAGTTACGCTGCAAAACGTGCAATAAACGCGAAAATCAAACCGCGCTTCGATAAGCTGCTGATTGCTAATCGCGGTGAAATCGCGTGTCGAATAATAAACACGGCTCGCGCAATGGGCATACGAACAGTGGCTGTGTTTTCCGACATAGATTCAAATTCGGTAAGACTATTAACTAATGGTAACAAACACAACAGAAATTAATTTTAACCTAAAAAGTAGAAACATGTCAAAATGGCGGACGAATCTATCCATATAGGTGGTCCTAAACCTTCAGACAGCTATATGAACATACAAAGTATTATTGAAGCTGCAAAAATGACAGGAGCTAACGCAATACATCCAGGATACGGATTTTTAGCAGAAAATTATAAATTTGTTGAATTATTAGTAAGTAACACCATAAAAATCAACTAAATATTTTATCAATATAAAATTATTTTAGAACCAAAACAATTTAATTTTTGTTGGACCATCTTCAGATTCCATAGCAAAAATGGGCGATAAATTAAAATCCAAACAAGTAGCAATGGCGGCTGGTATCAGAACCATTCCTGGATTTGATGGAATTATTCAAAATGTCAACCATTGTTTAGAAATAGCTCAAATTATAGGTTATCCTATAATGATCAAAGCATCAGCAGGGGTGGCGGTAGAGGCATGAGGATAGCTCATAACGAAAAGAAGCAAGTGAGGGTTATGAGTTAGCTGCAGCCGAAGCTCAAATTGCTTTTGGGGATAACCGTATTTTACTAGAAAACACATAACCAATCCCCGCCATATTGAAATTCAAGTCTTAGGTGACCAACTTGGCAATGCCATACATTTGGGTGAAAGAGAATGTAGCATTCAAAGAAGACACCAGAAGATTATAGAAGAAGCTCCCAGTAGCTTCCTAGATGAATCTACCAGATCACTTATGGGTTCGCAAGCAGTGGCGTTATGTAAAAATCAACTATCACTCTGCAGGTACCGTGGAGTTTTAGTTGATTCCGAGAAAAACTTTTATTTTCTTGAGATGAATACGCGTCTACAAGTTGAACACCCACTGACTGAATGCATTACTGGTATTGACCTTGTGGAAGCAATGTTATTGGTAGCTCAAGGTCAACCACTACCAGTCTCTCAAAATGATATCTCCTTCAAAGGATGGGCTATCGAAACAAGAATCTATGCAGAAGATCCTTTTAAAAATTTTGGCACTCCTTCAACAGGAAGAATTTACAAATATGTAGAACCAACGAATGTGCGATGTGACAGTGGTGTGCTGGAAGGAGATCTTATCAGCATTTACTACGATCCGCTTATAGCAAAAGTAATTTCCCATGACGTGGATAGAAAGAGTACAATACAAAAAACAATCAACGCGTTGGATTCGTACATTCTCAGAGGAGTAACGCATAATATTCCTCTCTTAAGGGATGTCCTCACAAGGGAAGACTTTCAGAGTGGTGAAATTAACACCGAGTACCTTAATCGGACCTATGGTCAAGACGGGAGAAAATTCACAAGGTATAATTTGACTTTGGAAGAGAAACAAGCTTTAATTGCTAATGGTGTTGCAATGTTTGCCAAAGAAGAGGTTAGGAGAAGATTTCATCTAGGACCAATGAGAACAGATAGTGAATCTGTTGAGGTAGTGATTGAATTGCCTGGTGGGAATGACCAAAATAGAAATCAATATCATGTGTTAATTAGAAACATTGAAAAAATCAAAAACACGGAAGAATTTAGTCTTGAACTAAAAATTGATGATAATGATTGGTTTGGGTATAATATATCTTCACAAGGATTAATTATTAATAATCCTACAGAAATTGTGATGCAATTTGCTTACAAGAAACCAGACGGAGTTGGAATTATGTAAGATAATGTCAAATTCATTAAATTTCAGGCTATGTTGATGTTATTTGTTTCATTTTAGATTTAAAGGAGCTCCATATGACCTTAAGATACTACCGAAGGTAGCTCATGATTTAATGCAATACGTAACCACAAAATCAACTCATTCTATTTCAAAAGAAGTCAGAGCTCCAATGCCTGGATTAATGAAGAACATTTTATGTAAAGAAGGACAAGTTGTTCATGACGGTGAAGTTCTATGCGTTATAGGTTAGAATCTATATATTTAATATTAATTTAACATTTTAATATAACATTTATTTATATTTTAGAAGCAATGAAGATGCAGAACTCCATGAACGCTTCTACAGCTGGAAGAATTAAAAAAATCAATTTTTCCATTGGTGATCGAATTGCTGAAGATGATGTCCTCATTGAAATTGAATGATTATTTCATTTATTTTCGAAAGTGTTGGTAGCACCTAGATTGTACATTATTAGATTTGAACCAGATGCGGTTTTAGGTTAGGGTCATCGGCTCTCGTGCCGGTTTAATCGCCAAGACCAATATTGCCGCGGCAGATTAGTATGATCGCGCTCTCGCGCATGAAACTATCAAATTCAATTGGCCGAAATAATTGTTATACCTATCCCAGGTCCCGGATTATGACCGCGGTCGGGAATGTATCACGCGATTATATGCGTAGCACATCACGACGCAGATAGCAACATAACCTCAATCGTGCAAGGGTACATTCAGGTGAGATTTGCAATTTAATAACAATGAACAATTAGAGTTTATCTGCAAAGCTTATCACATGTGGCAATTATGTTAGAATATAAGAATTGTATTAGTAATAGTTTGTTTTTAATTACTTTTAATTAAAATTTAAATTAATATTATATACTAGCTTTTGCCCGCGACTTCGTCCCGGTACTGCTTAATAAAAATGTAATTCGTTTTCACTCTCTTGTTTTAGACATTTTATTTTAAAGAAATTAATTATATAAAGAATTGCTAATCCTAATGCACTTCAGTGAGCCATCTAGGTTTCAACTATTTAACTATAACTATGATTGAATCTCAATGCCAACTTTTATCCTAAAGAAAGGACTGTCTTTAGAGTTTTCCCGGCAATTAATCAATTTTTTCTTGCCTTAATAACCATCCTTGGACTTTAACAAACATTTAGAAAAAAATTGACCAAATTGGTCTTGGCGTTGTTGCGTTATGCGCTTACCAACAGATTTTGCAATTTATTTTTATTTTATAGAAGATATTAATGTGTGACTTTATTTGCATTTTTCTTTCTCTTACGTAAAAGTGGCTGAAATATTTTTGACTTCAATTTAGCTTTATAGAACAATTAGTAAATTATTTTAGTGTTATGCATTTTGGTGTTTGCAAAACTAAAAGTTTTGATTTATCCAAAGCATCCTTGCTGGCGTCGTTAGCAAACGCGTTCGTCTAAAATATACACCCCTGGTAGCAGGTAGTTTCTACGATTAGTGTGATTAAAATATGTGTTTATAGCGCACGTGATGAAACAGAGATCCTCCCAACCGCCGAAAGCGTATAAATCTACGTTTTCACATCTGTTTCTAAATGTTCATTATGATTAGTTAATCAAACAATTGGAAAGTCCAAAGCTTTAAAGCGCAGTTAAAACCAACAACACAGAGTTAATCATCGCTATAGTTAATTAAGTTCTACTGCATACAAATGATAATACAATCAATACATATTAAATTTAAGAAATAAATGTTATGGAGGTATAGGTTGAATCAATTTTGGGGCTGATAACAGCCGATGCAAGGCAAGTTGGGCTCTATGGCTGTAAGCACAAAACTTATAATCCAAAGAGGTTGATTTGTATTTAGTGTGCGTAAATAAAAAAAAAAGCTCTCACAATAAATAATCTCGCGTTCGATTGTATTAATTCCCTTTGAAGCTTGTTATCTGCATCCGGCCTGCAGCGCGTGCAAGGAAAACGCATTTGCCAACTTCACACACGCCTCACACCCTTGAGCGGACGCGTATTTAATGTCGTCAACAGTTTCCAAGCTTCAAGCAATTCATTAGACGGGTGGTGTACGCCCGGCCAAAGAAGGGTGGCAGTAATTTGAAAACAAATGAATTTATAGATCCACCACCAGAGTGTGAAGCATGGCAATCGAATTATAAAGTATGCTATCCTTCTACATCAGAAGTCCTGAGTGACTTTTGTTTTGTATTTCCGGATAGTGCACAGGCATTTGATCAACGAGAATGCCCTTATAATCAGTTGTACATAAGAGATGATCAATCTGTTTATGAATATTTAAGTAATCTTCGCCCAATATGGCTGCCATGGAGACGCAATGACGTGAATGGTGGAGTAGGCGACTTTATATACACTCCATATCGAAAATACGTAGATCCTTTAATTAGTGTAGTAGAACTTGCTCCACTCGTAACTAGCACAGAAGACGTCCAAGATCACAAATGTTTGTCTATGTACAACGGACAATACAGCGCTGATTGTACAACACCTAGGTATCACGTATGTCTCTACGATGTTATAATGTTCAACTCCATAGATTTTCCGAGTCCAATTTATGAACCTGATTTCTGCAGAGAGAAACATGAAAACGAGTTCTGCCGAACATCATGGGATGTGGGTTTGGATGGTATAACTTGCATTTGTCCCTCGGTATGTCAGACTCCGGCAGTAATTCCTGAAAGGGTAGCAAATTGTGGAGTGCCTGTTGAAATAAATGACGATGATGTTTTAATATGGACAGCAACTCAACAACCGGTAAAAACACCATGTGGACAGGCAGCCAGGTCTTGAGGAAACCAAATCACAAATTTATTACTTGGTCTGATGGTTGGATCCTTTCAGAAGAACCTGGTAAATGCCAAATGTGTGAAACGCACTGGAAATTTGAAGAACCGATACTAACTTTATCATACGATACTGAACTTAAAGTACACATTCAAAACCCCGAAAGGGCATATTTACGTCAGGAATCAAAGGGTGAAATTCAATGCTATTCACATTTAAATATGGAAACTGTGAGAAATCGCTTAAGTGAGGTTAAGAATCCACCTTATGTTGGAGTGTGGCAGTGTTCCGTACATGACATAGCAAATACTTCAAACATTATTAGAAGCAACAAAGTTACTGTTTTTGGTTCCAAAGTGTATTTTATCGTAGAAATCACGTGCAACACTGTTTTGGATGAATGCACCACAGATTTGGAAAGCACAAATGATGGAGATGGAGATAGTTTTTGTTTTCGCCTATTACCCGCTTAAATTTAATTATCACCAATGGTGTTATTTCATTCGACCAGACATATCAAGCGGAAATAGAGAAAGGTGATGAGGATTATTATCAAATACTAAAAGCAAGAATGAAAAGTGCAGGTGTGGAACACTTGAATCCAAGGACATACCATCTAGAGTACTGTGAAGAATTCATGGTAGTGCAAAAGGGACATGAGTTGCATTTTGCACAAGTATCAGTTAACCAAGTATCAAGAACAACCTGTTACGACGAACAAGGATACGCTATTAAAGTAACATGCATAGAGGATCACAGTCACGGTGCTCGATTTTCTGCCGTTCCTGATTGCCACACCTTCGAGAGCAACCATACTACAGAATTGGGTGACTTGGAAACATCCGAGGGTCCTCCAGAAGAAATTTTTACAAGTCTAATAGAAATTTTACAAGATAAAGAATACCCTTTTCAAAGCGGAGATTTAAACAAAACTATTAACATATTAGAAAACATTGGTGAGTTAGTGCCCAAAGAAGATTTAATGGAGTCAATCAATATTCTGATGGATATAGATCCAGCCGTTTTTCATCAAGCACAAACTCAATTAAATGTATCTGACAGGATCCTAGACATGCTAGATGAGGCATTGACATCAGTTTATTTAGAAGAAAGTGAAGTCATCTTGGAACATGAAAACCTTATGAGTGTTTTAATGTCCGAGGAATCTGAATATAGAGGGGTTGGAATATCATCTACAAATGAAACAATATTATTGAAGGATCAAACAATTGAAGATTTTATTAATATGGGTGAATGGCAAGTTATGGCTTATTTAAACTACTCTTCCAAAGCAGACTTATTTGAAAGTGACATTGACACCAACAGCACCAATAATTCAACCAGTAACATTAGATCGATTACTCTGTTTCATTCAACAACACTGTTCAATGAAAACATAACAGTGCCCTCGATGGTTACCATGTCTACAATCAAGTATTCAGCATTCTTGTCCCTGAATATTACTACCTGCAATCAGATGTAGAGATTCTCTTGATATTTCCAACTACACCTTCAGGTTACGAAAAACTGAATGCGCCTTCTGGTATTATGGACAACTAATTAAAGGCTCTTGGAAAACAGATTCGTCTAGCACTTGGTCAAGTTTCTCAACAGACAAATACAAAATCTGCACATTCAACCATACCACCCATTTTGGTCAACTTTTGATGATGCAAAACGATGTACTAAGTCCGCTAAGTGAACGTATTTTGTCAATGATGACAATGATAGTAGGCAGTATTTCTTCCCTTGGAATAGTTATAATATTCATTACCGCCATTTGCTTTCCCTCATGGGGTATAACTCAACTGCGGACTTTGAACTTTTGCCTCATGCTGCTGATGCAAACTATGTTACTTTTGTCAGCACCAATTATGGTGACATTAGTACCACGTCAATAGGTTGTACTGTCTTGGGAGCTTGTCTTCACTTTGTGGTGCTTTCCCAATTCTGCTGGATGGTCGCGTTGGCACACCGTCAGTACCAGATGTTCGTCAAAGTGTACAACCCCAGAATGATTCACATCAAATGGATCATGGTACTCACGTCGGGTCTGCCGGCGGCTATCGTTACTATAACTTTAGGTGTGAACAAGAACACTTACGGGGAAGATAATTTAGAATCAATGAGTTTATGTTATCCTAGTGGATACACCTTGATTAGCTCAGTACTGGCTCCAGCATGCTTTGCAATGGTCATCAATATCATAATCTACTTTCGTATTATTTATGAATTGCATTGTAAGAGACAAAGCAAAGAGAAAACGTCAACACAAAATAATGACTCAATATTTCTATTGAAACTTCGTCTTTTCGGGCAGTTGTTCTTTACGTTGGGCATTAGCTGGTGGTTAGGGTTGTTAGCATTTATTTTTAAGTGTACCTTTCTTTTGTTTGGATTTTCCATAACCACTGCTATGCAAGGATTTGTTTTATTCCTCTACGTTATTGTTGCTGATAAAAAGTTCGTAAGATGTACATTAGAAAACTAAATTCAGCTTGTAAAGACAATAACTTAAATTGATTCAATTTTTATGATTACACTAGCTTTTGCTCACGACTTTGTCCCAGTAGTATTTAATAAAAATGTAATTTTTTTTACTCTCTAAGATTTGCAATTTTCTTTTAAAGAAATTAATTATATAAAGAATTGCTAACAATGCACTTCAGCGGACAATCTCTGGATTGAATGATTGAATCTCATTGCCAACTTTTATCCTATAGAAAAGGGCTGTCTTTAGGGTTTTCCCGTCAAATATTTGAATTTTTCTCGCCGTCAAAACCATCCTTGAACTTTAACAAACATTTAAAAAAAAAAGAATTGACCAAATTGGTCTAGGCGTTGTTGAGTTATGCGCTTACCAACAGATTTTGCGATTTATTTTTATGTTATCGATTGTGACAGTAATATTATTTTTAAAAAGGTTGAAAGGCAAATTTCAGATACATTTGGCATGAATTATACTTTTATCGATTATTTACTTTATCTCTGGTTAGAACTATTTTACTAATTTAACATGCCGTGTTTGCTGATTTGAGCATTGGGAGATAACAACTTACCAAACATGAAAATATATTTTTTTTATTATAATGGGATTTATGGGATTTATACAGATCACAAAGTGTTAACATCGATGTTAGCGTAGTAGTAAAATGAGTGCTTTTAAATTTGTTTTATTTACTTCACTGATTCCTTCAATATTTATGGTAATATCACATATTTTAATTACTTATTATTTAAAACCTAGTCAAAAACTATTTCAGCAATGTTCCGATGAACAAACCGTCAACGGAGAAAAAATATACTGGTCAAAATCAATTCAAAGTGATCCCAAATACTACTACTCAGAGCCATTATGCATTATCAACGGCATTTACGTACTACGAGAATGCGACTTTGAAAAACATGAGTTTCTCACTAAACAACCCGACTGTGAGTCTTTGCAAGATGGTTCAGTTATGTGCTACAATCCCACATCATTCATGTCAGGTCAAGAACAAAAAGATTTCTGTTATGTAATATCTGACACTATATTGCCATACGAAGAGGGTTTAGAATGCCCTTACAACCGATTGTACATACAAAATGAAGATCCCATTTATAAAGCTATAAGTATGAAGTACCCCATATGGATACCATGGAAGCGAAATGATGTGGATGGCGGAGTAGGTGATTTTATTTCGGAGGCATTAATCGATACCCGTACCATTGATGCAATGCCCAGAATAGAACTTACGACACTAGTTTCAAGCACAGAAGATGTTCTTAACTACAAGTGCTTGTCTTTGTACAATGGTGTCTACAGCGCCAATTGTGATACTCCTAGGTATCATGTTTGCATATACGAAAGTTCCAGATTTACAGATAGTTCATATATCAAAGCGGAGCGTGAACCAGATTTTTGCAAATTACAGCATGCAAACGTCTATTGCCGCACATCGTGGGAGGTGGGCTTACATGGCATTACTTGTATTTGTGCCGCAGAATGTGAAACTCCAGCGGTACATCCTATGAGCGTAGATGAATGTGCAGTGGGTGTTGAAGTAAACAAAAGTGGGGTTTTGGTTTGGTCAGCGAACCAACTCCCTGTTGAAACTTTTTATGGTCAGGCGAGCAGGCTATCGCTGGAGATATTTCAGAGAAATTTGTTGTTTGGCAAGGAACAGGTTGGGTATTTTCGGATGAGCCTAATAATTGGAAGATGTGTGAAACTTTTGGTCTATTAAGGAACCCATTCTTGAATTATCGTATGACACGAAACTAAAAGTCAACATTCAACATGAGGAGAGAGTATTTCTTAGAGCTAAAACTGAATTTGTTGATCCTGTTGAAGTAATATGTTATTCCCATCTGGATATGGGTTATGGTAAAAACGATTAAGTGAAATTGAGGATTCTCCTTCTGTTGGTGTATGGCAGTGTGCCGTGTATGACATTGCTAATATGTCAAATATTATTCGAAGCAACAAAGTTACCGTTTTTGGTTCCAAAGTGTATTATATTGTAGAAATCACATGCAACAAATCACTATCAGCATGTGCTTCAGATTTGGAAAGCACATATTCTGGTGTAAAATTCGTATTTTCACCCATAACCCGATTAAATTTAATTATCTCCGATGGGGTTACCACATTCGATCAAACATTTCAAGTAGAAATAAAGAAAGAAATTGAAGATTCTTATGAAACACTTAAAGCCAACATGAAAAGTACACTTGTGCAACACTTGAATCCAAGGACATATCATTTAGAATTCTGCGAAGAATTCATGGTAGTGCAAAATGGACATGAGTTGTATTTTGCACAAGTATCAGTTAACCAAGTGTCAAAAACAACCTGTTACGACGAACAAGGATACGCCATTAAAGTAACATGCATAGAGGATCATAGTCGCGGTGCTCGATTTTCTGCCGTCCCTGATTGCCATACCTTCGAGAGCAACCGTACTACAGAATTGAATGACCTGGAGACATCCGATGATCCTCCAGAAGAAATTATAAGAAGTCTAATTGAAATTCTACAAGACGAAGAATATCCTTTTCAAAGCGCAGATTTGAACAAAACTGCTAACATATTAGAAAATATTGGTCATTTAGTACCCAAGGAAGATTTAATAGAGTCCATTAATATCCTAATGACAAAGGATGCAACAGTTTTCAACCAAGCACAAAATCAGCTAAACGTATCCGACAGAGTCCTGGATAAATTAGATATGGCACTGTCATCAGCACAATTAGATTATAACGAAGAAATCACAGAAAGTGAAAATATTGTCAGTGTATTAATGTCGGAAAAATCATATTATAGAGGGGTTGGATTGACGTCTGCAAATGAAACAATCCTAATTATGGAACAAACTCTAGATGAACTTTTAGAGTTAGCCGACTGGGAAGTAGTGGCTTATTTAAATTATACTTTAGAGGAGGACATATTTAAAACAGAATTGAGCATCACTTCAATTACTTTGTTCCATTCAACGGTGTTATTCAATGAACCATCTAGCAATTCACTTGATATTGATTATCAAGTTTACAGACGTGCCTTCAGCATTCTAATTCCAGAACATTACTATCAGCAATCAGAAGTTGAGGTTCTCTTAATATTTCCTTCTTTTTCATCAATGTATCAACAAACAGAATGCGCGTTTTGGTATTATGGGCAACTAATTAAAGGTTCATGGAAAACAGATTCTCAGAGCTTCCAATCAAATGCCGTAACCAGCAAGTATACAATCTGCACCTTCAACCACACCACGCATTTTGGACAACTTCTGATGACGCAAAATATTCTTACTCCAATAAGTGATGGCATCCTTTCCATGATGACATTGATACTATGCAGCATATCTTCCTTGGGACTTGTTATAATATTCTTTACAGCCATGTGTTTTCCCAGCTGGGGTAAAATCAACTACGCACTTTGAATTTTTGTCTTATTCTGCTGATGCAAACTGTTCTTCTTATCATTGGCACTAACTATAATTCCGCTAATGCCAATTCAATAGGATGCATTGTTTTGGGAACTTGTCTTCACTTTGTGGTGCTCTCACAATTCTGCTGGATGGTTGTGTTGGCGCACCGTCAATACCAAATATTCGTCAAAGTATACAACACTAAATCAATTCACATCAAATGGATCTTGTTATTCACTTGGGGTCTGCCGGCGGCAATCGTTACTATAACTTTAGCCGTGAACAAGAACACTTACGGAGAAGATAATTTAGAATCAATGAGTTTATGTTATCCTAGTGGATATACCTTGATTAGCACAATACTGGCTCCAGCATGTCTTGCAATGGTCATCAACATCATAATCTACTTTCGTATTATTTATGAACTACATTGTAAAAAACCAAAACAAGACAAAAAATGTCAAGCCAATTTGATGATCCAATGTTTCTATTAAAATTGCGACTTTTTGCGCAGTTGTTCTTTACGTTAGGTATCAACTGGTGGTTTGGTATCTTTGCTTTTGTTTTCGACAGTTCTTTCTTCCTGTATTGTTTCTCTATCACTACTCCTATGCAGGGGTTTGTTTTATTTCTATATATAATCATCGCTGATAAAAAGGTTCGAAATATGTATATCAGAAGCTTTAAAACCGCTTTTAGACAACAATAAAATATATGTATTTATTTATTACACTACAAACAGAAACCAACTTATTATTCAATCTTTGTACCTAGCAACCAGTCAATACAAACACTTTACGCATTACAGAAAAGGAAACGTCAGTGTGTCAAGATTGTAATTTTCACATTCTTCTATCTATCATGAGGCTTAAAGTAACTTTAGCAAAAAGAGTCCCCTCACGAGAAGACCGTGACATGTGTTGGTTGGAGTAGCACGGAAGAGGTTTACTCCCGGAAGGTGAGCAACTCAGCCAAACACTCAAATACTTTGACCTAATATAAACTCTTATAGCGATGACAATCAACTACTCTCTTGGACGGTGTCCAACAATGAATCCACTCGAATCGCCCGCTTCAACTTTGATCTCTTTCCAACTGATCTTCAGTTCGTTCCACGTGTAGGTGGAATGACAGGTGGTAAACATGCGGATCTTATGCTTATCACGTCGGCCGATGGGCGATTTCATATCGCAAACCGTGGTGGTCGTGTGGAACGTTCCGTTGAAGCTCACAAAGGTGCCATTCTCATTGGTCAATGGAGTAATGATGGAGCTAGCCTTCTAACAGGTACTGGTAATTTTTCAATAAAAATAAAATTATAATATCCTAAAACTTGTAGGTGGTGAAGATGGTTTTGTGAAGGTATGGTCCCGAAGTGGCATGTTACGTTCTACAGTGGTAACCAGTGAGAATTCTGTCTATGGTGCCGCCTGGTCCCCAGATGGTCAAGCAATCGTCTACACAAATGGAAAACTATTGGTCATCAAACACTTAACTCCAAATACCAAACCAACTAAAGTAATTCAATGCATTCAATTATTATAAGAATAATTTATATACTTTATTGTAGTGGAAAGCCCACGATGGTCTAGTTCTTTGCGTAGCATGGAGCGCCGCGTGCGAAATGATCGCCTCCGGTGGTGAGGACTGTAAATACCGGGTTTGGGACTCCCACGGTCGCCCTTTATTCTCAAGCGGATTACACGACCATCCGATAGCTTCAATTGCATGGTCACCAAATGGGGACTCTTTTGCCGTTGGGTCTTATAACACTCTACGACTCTGTGATTATTCGGGAGTAAGTTTTTACATGGTAAAAAAGAGAGTACATTTTTAAAAATGTTATTTTGTTAGTGGTCCAGATGTCTTGAAAAACCTCCAACTGGCACCATTCTAAAACTGAGCTGGAGTTCAGATGGCACGCAATTAGCTGGAGCCTGCGCTAATGGTAAAGTCATCTTCGCCCACGTAGTAGATCGAAGTGTAGAGTACGGCAACTACACAGCAACAGTCACTGAGAAGAAAGCAGTGGCAGTGCATGATGTCCAAACAGACACCACTGAACTCCTAGACGTACCCGAAAGAGTCATACAACTATCAATGCGATATGGCCATCTTGTTCTTACAACCCCAAAGCAGTGTTATGTTTACAGCGCCAACAACTGGAACACTCCAACTATATTTGACCTGAAGGATGGAAATGTCACTTTGTTGCTACAATCTGAAAAGTTAGAATGTAGTGTGTTTATTTCATTTTTTACTTCATTTATTTGCAGGCACCTGTTACTTGTTGAGAAAACGACAGTGGGATTATACAGTTATCAAGGTAGACTTGCAGCATCCCCAGATGGCCCAACATGCGTTTAGAGAGTTTACGATCACAATCAGTAGCATTATCGCCGGATACACTAGTAGTACGAGATGTCGCAGATGCTAAACTATTGCATATAATGGACTTGGCGTCAAACCGCACGATGCAAGACACCTCCTCAACTCTACAACACTCAATGGCAATTATCCAAATTGCACTGGATCAATCCGGTCCAGCTTCAGATCGGCGCGTTGCCATCTTAGACAAAACCGCGATCTATTTCTGGTGCAATTAAAACACAACACAAAGACTTTCAAAAACTGGGCGGGCAGATACAGTCCTATCAATGGAACACTGATGAAAACATGCTCAGCGCTATTCAGGACACCAGACTCATCGTGTGGTACTGCCCGTCGGCTTGTTTTGATCGTGATCTGTTGCGCCTGTGTAGTATGCAATACGATTCGCAGGATCTTGGCAGAAGTCCGAGAATACATGATTTCATCGGAAATGCTGTTTTTGTGCGCAGAACTGATGGATCCCTGTTAAATATACCAATATCTCCGTTTCCAACTCTGCTGCATGGGTACATACAGAATAACAAGTGGTCGGACGCGTTGAATCTGTGCCGTACAATTGATGAGACCACTTTGTGGGCTTGTTTAGCTGTCATGGCGACTCAATCGGCAAGTGATGCGTTAGATATCGCCGAGGAAGCTTACGCTGCCATCAATCAATATGATAAAGTGTTATATATACAACACTTGAAGGTATTTTAGTTAAAATATTTTACCATTGAGAACTTCAATTCACATACTGGTTAATAATAATATGTCTTAGAGACACTTAGTAGTCAATTATTGAATAATTTTACTCCATCAAATGGTAGATCATGCCTTTAAAATGTATTATTTTGTAATTATGTTGAAGGAATTACCCCGACCATTGCAATTAGCAGGCGCCGCGCTACTAGGCGGACAGATTCAACACGCCGAATCGATCCTCCTGCACAACGGCATGGTGTATAACGCAATACTCAATCACATAAGATTGCATAATTGGAATAGGTACTACGTACTCTCCGCAAACCACCAATCCCGAATGCACCCGCATGCTGTACATGCATACAATCTATTCGCATTGTTCGTTAGTAAATCAGCAAGGCCGAAATCTGCGACTCAACCGCCGAATTACTAACTTGATAATTCGATAATTGATAAATAATTGACACAGAGTAATTAATTAACTAATGCGATTGTCTTTCAGGGCTTTGGACTTGGCTGTACGGCATAAAACTCACATTGATACCGTACTTTATTTGAGAAATAAATATCTTGAAAAGCTGGAGAAGGACGAGATCAATACAAAGTTTATCAATTTGAGAAAAACTGTATGTAAACATTATTAAACATATGAATGAAGGAATCAATTATTTTACTGTTTCAGGTTGAGATTAACGAAGAGAAAATATTGGAACGCATCGAACAAGAAAAGAAACATTAAGTTAATTTCACAAGATGGCGGCGAGCATCACACATCGTAAACTGTATATGTTAATAATTATATTTAATGTTTTATTAGTGTTTGCTAATTTAACCGAATAGAGAATATAACAGATGATTGAATCAAATTAAAATTATTACCCAATACATAAATCACTTGATAAAAACTAGAAGACAGCAAAAATAATCGTTAGGCAAAAACTTGTTATAACAAAACTGCCATAAATTCTATTCTTGATCACCTTCCTCGCCTATTTTAATATAATCCGCATACATACCTTTCCGCATCGGATCTAATTCCATCAGTTTACGGTAAACGTCTAAGTTTTTCTTTATTGCATCTTTGTTAGACAATGAGAGACTACCTGCGATCCAACACTTCGCCATGTAAACCCCTGGGGACACAAAAGAAAAAAAGGATTAACTAAAGATTATTACACTCTATAAAACTAAATCTTACACTTGCAATTAGGCTCCAATTCCAGCAATTGCTCGAAATCGCTTAGCAAAGCTTCGCGATGTTTCTCGGAAACCGCCCGGTTACTTAAAACCCAACGCAGGTAAAACCACGTGCTGCTATCGTACGGATCCGTAAAAACAGCGTTCTGCACCAAGCGTAATTCATCCTCTAATGTCTCGGCGTTTAATTCTTTCAGCGTGCTTCGATAATGCCATGAAGAATAATTCGAGAAATTCGCGTTTATCTTATCAGTAGAGAATTCCAGTTCGGCGTCAATTTTGTATCCGAGTTTTTGAGGAGTAATCTTCGATAATCCCAAGAGTGAACTAAAAAATTAACAATTCATTTAGTTATGCTTAATTTAAATTTATTAAAAACACTTTTCTACTTAAACTTACAGTTTCGTTCATCGTACTTTAAATACTTCTCCACCAGCTTCAGCTCTTGTTGCCAATCTGCTTTGGGATGATGCTGTAAAATCCAGAAACGATGATGCCACGCACCATATGATTTCGGATTGGCGAGTAAACACCTCTCGGTCAAATCAAGTTCTTGCTGCATTAATTTAATCAAACGTAGTTTTAATAATCTGCAATAAAATCCCAATTGTTTCTCAATCAATGACTGATCATCAAGCCCTTGGGTTTCATCTAGAGTGCATGTCCTCACAAACATCTCTTCTAGATCTGAGATGATTTCGATAGGTATTGCTTGCTGTGTTTTATATTTTCCAGGTGTTTATTAAAGCTGTTTCTAGCATTTTCCACATTGCTAGTGTCATCAGATTTCTCTTTAAAGTAATCATCAAGCATAGAAATAATGGTAACAAGACCCTTGTCTGATACATCGTAATCGTTTTCAAATTTTCTACAAACTCTTCTTTTACTTTCTTTGTTTTGTCTGACCTGAAATTCAATTTATATTTTTGTGAATTTATTTTTCACTTTTTAATCCTCTGCTTACAAATCATCAATCAGTGTTAGCATTACTTCTTTTCTATAGTTCCACAATGTATAAACATCAGGATTTTTCTCCAGAATTCCAGCACAGATGGCAAAACTCTCTTTGTCATAAGGCTTTTCATGCCTTTTGGATTGAATGAGTAACATTCCATGCCTATAGGCTAATAATTTCTGCTTTTGTTGCTTTTCTTTGATAAGCTGTTGCTCCTCACTTGTACGCACTTTCAATCTTCCGTGCTATGTTAATACAGAAAATTACAATTATAAAATAAACGAATAATTCGCTAATAAAATTCGCCTAATAAAAACTTAACCTCTGATAACATACCATTTTTGACAAATTCTCCCAGTTGCAACTATTACGAAGCGTTAAAAAAACAAATATTCAAAAGAAAACTTTTTCAATGATAGCGTATATTAAAATTAACTATTTTAACACAACTATTAAATGAAGTAATGAAGTTTTATAATAAGAACACACGTAGATGTGGAATGTATAAACAGATCTAGGCAACATCTTATGCACACATTTAATAGTTTTCAAATAATAAAGGAAGCAAAATATTATCAGTATAATAGAAATTAAATTGAAACTAAAAATGAAATTAATTTTATTAAAGAATTCCTAAAAATCTTTACTAAAATTTTAATTCAGTAAAATTTTGATGTGCCAGGTGTGATAACCCTTATTGTCTCATTATTCATAATTTTGCACCTGGTACGGGCGATGCTTTAGTCGGAAATTTTCCTAATTACATTTAACGACACTTTTTCGAGGAATTCAAAGTGTGATTTTACCTGCTTTTGGTTTTAAACAAAACTAAACCTTTCAGTTTAATTTTATATTCCCGTATGCGCATGCGCACACAAATGCGCACTCGGATTAGTTCGGAGATATGTCATCGTAGAATGCTCGTCTGGCCTTCACTTTAAATTCGCGTCCGGTAGTTGGCGGTTCAAACGTTGACGGTTATAAGAAATTCGTCTTTCGGTAATCAGTGGCAATCTACCTAGTGACTACGTATTTACCAGCCGCTTTTAATTTTCAAGTACAGTGTGTGTTCTGTTTTGCACCTTCCATTGTTTGTGTCAAGCTTTGATTGCAATGAGAGAAAACATGGACATTGACGGGTAAGTAATTCTATTTCTGAGATATTTTCACAGCCAAAATTGAGCGGCAAACTGAAATTAAATGTTTAACCAACGAATATTTCTTAGCTCCTTGAGCATTTGCGAAGACACGCGCGTGAAAAGAATTCTTCAGAGCGTCGAGACCGGCTTGCGTTCATGGTACAGCATCGTTAACACGTTCGGTTTGAATGAAAATGATAAAGTCAAATGGGAAGAGGAACTCCAGGATGAGATTGAGGCTTGTGTTAACGATTGTCACGCTGCAGCCATCGAGAAGCAACAAGCTCTTATTGATAAGATTGAAAGCTTGTTGACGGAGAGTGAAAAGATGTGCAAGAAACTTACCATTCAAATGCCAAGCTTTGCTCCAACAAATCAGGGCCTATATAATGATGAGAAGTATCTCATTGAGTTAGTTAAAGGGTAAGAACAAATTAAAATCATGATAATTAATCTTTATTAACTAAATTTGATGTTTTGTTTAGATGGCAAGAAGAAATAACAACAAGGACAGTAGAAATTGATAATCTCAAGACGCGTCGCGACGAAGTGAGCAAATCCTTGGGTCGTGAACCGTTCTTCGTTAAAGAATCTCCTCTTCCTAGCCGGGATGAAATTGAGATGTATAAAATCAAACTACAAGAACTCGAAGTTGAGAAACAGCACCGAATCGAAAAGTTTCGTGACCTGCAAGAACGAATTATAGCGCTATCCGACGAGATTAAGTTCATGCCGAAACTTGATTTTGAACGCGATATTATCACCGGCGATAATCTGTTGTTCTTTGAAGCTTCCGATGAAAACATGCAGCGTGTGGAGCAGTTCCATTTTGATTTACTGGAAATGCGCGAAAAAATCGAACAAGAACTGAATAAATTGCGTGAAGCACTCGAGCATCTCTGGAAAGTTCTCGAAGAAGATGTGAAGTACTGCAATGACTTTATCCAAACTCATGTGGGGCTCAATTATAAGACCTTAGAAGCATTCAAAACAGAAGTGAAGCGGTGTGAATTAATTCGCAAAACCAATCTTGGCGTAAGTGTTTTTCTATTTCTATTTTCTGCAGTCGAAAATCAAATTTTAATTTTATTGTTGTTTTGTTTGTTTAGAAATTTATTGTCAAACTTCGCACAGAATTGATCGATCGATGGAATGAAGCTGGATTTTCTGAAGCTCGACGCGCGGAATTTGCCATTTACATGGAGGATGATATGTTCACCGAAGACCTACTCACTTTGCATGATATGCAGATTGAAAGGGTGAAAGCATATTTGCGAAATAATCAGGAGATTTTTGAGCTATTAAAGCAGCGTGATGTGCTATACAAGCGAATGCGTGATTTGGACGAACGGGCGAATGCACCCGATAGATTCAAGAATCGTGGTGGGCAGCTGCTAAAAGAAGAAAAGGAACGCAAAGCTGTTACGAAGAAGATTCCGTGCATCGAGGAGCAACTACTCAATCTTGCCGTGCAGTATGAGGAGAAGCATGGTGAGAAATTTACGTACTTCGACGACACGATCGAAAGTTTAATCGAGAGGTCACGGGAAGTTCTGGAACAAGTAAGTCTACAATTTATATATATTTTTTCTTTTATAATTTTTAAACGTTTTGTAAAAATACATCCGCTTTGGTTGATTTTTACAATTTACTATCGCGCTAAAGTTATTCGCGTGTGAGTTGTGATGAATTATGTGAAGAAAAAAGAAGAAAATTGGTGTTCGACAGTGGAAGAAGCTCAACTTTTAGTAATGTAATAGTAGTTTGACATATCCTTATTTTTTATTTTATTCAACAGACACTTACCACACTCACACAAGACACCACTACACACAATACACATTTAGGTTCATCTTCATCATCATCAACATCATCATCATCATCTTCAAGGCGTTCTTCTAATGGAGACTCCCGTGTGGCATATGACAATGTCGCATTGAGTTTAATCAATAATATTGAAAACCTTACAAATAGTATATTTGGTAATGCACGATCAACGGGTAATTTGAGTTCTAAAGATGAAATGTTCAACACACCACTTGGTAGGAAACCAAACGTGCAGAAAAAGTTATTAGTTGCAAGCGAAAGTCAACTTTCCAAACAAAAGAATACCAATGTTCTTTCAAGGCGTTTATCGTACCAACCTAAGTTGACAACACCAAAATCTTCTGTACCTAAATCGAATATTCCTGTTCCTACTGTAAAAGCTGTAAAACCTATTAAAGTAACACCTTGCACTCCTGTTCAATGCCCACCTAAAATAGATTCAAGAACTTTTACAAAGAAAACAGTAAAACCACGACGAAATGCACCATCTTCATCAATAAAATTGTTTTCTACTAATACAGGCCCAAAAGAAGATACTCATTCCTCAGAAGAAGAACGAATTCAATTGTTTCTGAAGTTAGCTGGCATGAAAATGAGACAGTTAAATAAGGAACAAGTGGTTTTCGTTGAGAAGTTGATTATGGATGCGTTACACGAAGCTGTATTAGGACAGCTTACATCAACTTATACATTGCAGTGTTAATGTATATATTTAAAAGTATAAATGTGATATGTTAGTCTTAAGATTTGGTGTAATATTAGTTTAAGTTCATACAAATAAACTATTAAAAGTAAGAACAACCCCATATAATTCCTTTTTCATTTGTGATTTGCATTGTGTAGTTATAGATTATTGATTGATTGTATTGATTTATTTTATAGGAAAAGAAGGAGCAAATGAGCGCAAAGGAAACAAAAACGTGACGTGACAATGAGCTCAAACAAAATGACACCTCGAGTCTTATACAAATCACCAAAATTATGGCACAGTTATCAACGCGAAATCATCTTACCCCATAATTTACGCCGCATAAGTGAGTTTAAAGTTTTAGAATTGAATATTCTTTATTAAAACATAATTTTATGATGAATTCTAGTGCGTACACCAAAAACAGCGCCAACTCGAAGGTGCTTACTGCAAGAAGATCGATTACCAAAGCGAAAATCCGCTATCCACAGATAAAAGCGCATTGCGCAATGCGCGAACAAATTAAGTCTTCAGAAGTGAAGACAGAGCCAATGAGAATGACATTGAGTATTCAAGTTTGAGGTAAAACAATAAGTTTTTAATGATTTTTTGGCGAACGTTTTTATAATGTTTTCTATCGTAGATTGAAATGTCGAGGAAGGATGGTGCTGCAAGGGTACAATCAGTTTGCAGAGTCCGCATGCTACGCTCCTGGGAAACCGTCCATTCGCATTGAAACACGCACCGTCGACAAGCAGCTTAAAACGATTTCCGGAGTCAAGAAACAAAATTACATTTCTAAGATTTTTATATTTTTATAAAATTACTACAAAAATGCATTATTTATATCAAGTCACTCACATTTGCGAACATTTAACATATCTTACATTGTTAGATGTGGATTTGTAAGGTTGTGGGCTGTCTACAGCAATCAGTACTTAAATGTTTTTAACTTTATTACAAGTTTAATAGTCTTAAGTTTAGGTTATAAAATTTTTACTATCAGCGCGGGAGAATTAAAATACGTACGGATGAAAATAAAATCAAAAAATATTAAATCCGATCTTGTCTCTGTAGGCTGTTTGAAGCAGCCCTGTCCTTAAATGGGAGAAAGACGCAAGAAGAGCTGGCGCACAGTAGTTTTAGTTGCACGATAGCAGTTTACCGTTTGTGTTGTTATCATGGCTAAACTACGCAACTATGGCTGCAACCGTTGTTGCAACTATACTTCTCTCTAAATATGCGTTCTCTGCAAATAGCGACAACCTTGAGTTGTTTTCTGCAACACGGAGTTTTAAGGGGGCTGGTTCTAACTCTCGTTCTCTTCTTTGTTTTAGCAATCGCTTTCGAGTTCCAATCGCAGTCATGAGCTAAATTTGAATGCGAATTTGATTCGCTTCGTCAGTCGACTTCGATATAAAATAAAATGAATAATGACACCCGTTCTCTCTTTGCCTCTCGCACTTCGTTTTGAAGGATTTGATGCGATTTTTTAAAGAAAATATGTGATTTTATGACGAATACTTTCATTGACTATTTATACAGTGTTGATTTATTGCTAAATTGATGAATATTTGCTAAAATTGCAAAGTTTGATTTGAATTAATACATTCAACGACATCTACATTTGAAACTTTCAGTTATGTAAAATTGCTATTCGTTCAGACGGGGTGGGTGCATGCGCAGTTGCGTGTACGTGTGACACACGCGCAATGCTATTAAGTGCGTGATCATACACTGACTTATAGCCAATCACTCACTGCCTCATATGCACGCCACACTTTTTTGATACACTTTGTATTTTCTTGAAGAGGGTACTCAAAAGTAACTTCAGATTAAGCGCAATAATACATGTTTTGCTAAAAATATTCCCTGCGAGTGAT